CAGTCAAGGGGGATGGTGCCTGCTCAAGATGCCTGGCTGAGAGTGTGTGGGCGTCTGGTTGGAGCCCTGCTTTTATATATTCATATATTTTATTTAGCTTTGACCAAAAAGTGAACATAAAAACTGAGTCATGGCAATGAAAACTAACAGATAATTTATATAAAATAAATCTTGATATGACTAACATTAATTTATTTAAAATAAATCTTGATATGACTAACATTGGTCGAACATGACATGTGATATTTTACTCCTTAGAAGCCCCATGTGAGGTAAATAGAATCCTTCCCTCACATTTTCTAGATGGGAAACTGGAAGTGCCAGGAAATGAAGTGAGGGAACTCAGCAGCAAGAGGACCTAGACTGCAGCCCAGTCCGACAGTGCCAGTTGAAACCTAGTTTTCCAACGAGGACCGCTTTCCTGTCCCTTCCTCTCCTCTTTTTCCTGCAGCTTAACACCTACCACTTAATTGAATATTTACTCAAGAGGCATTGTAGGTTAATGGTTTGAGAACGTGGACTCTGGCATCAGATTTCTTGGTTTGAATCCTGTTGTTACCGCTGGCTAGCTCTGGGGTTGGACACATTAGTGGACCTCTCTTGTGCCTCATTCCATTTGTGTGTGTAGCACTATACAGTAGGTATAAGATAATGTAACCGTTAGCCGTTGTCAGGATCATTGTCTGCACCAGCTAAGTACATGCCTTGCATGCATTATTAATTCTGTTATCCCTGTTTTACAGATCAAGAAAGGTTTTCTTTTGAAAGTTGAGTTACTTGCCTTAGATCATGTGATCAGCGGGTGGTAGACTATCCTTGGAACCCAGGAGTGTGTGCTGTTGACCCTTGAACCGCTTAGGGCCTGGAGGTACCAACCCTCATGCAGTCAAAAATTCACATAGAACTTTTGACTTCCCAAAGGCTCAACTACGAATATTTTCATGTTGACTGGAACCCTTACCGATAACATAAACAGTTGATTAACACATATTTTGTATGTTATGTGTATTATATAATATGTACTGTATAATATATGATAGATATTATTCTTACAATAAAGTAAGCTAGAGAAAAAATGTTATTAAGAAAATCGTAAGCAAAATAAAATATGTTTACTATTCATTAAGTGGAAGTAAATCATCTTAGAGGTCTTCATCCTTTCTGTCTTCCCATGGAGCATATTGGCTGAAGAGGAGGAAGAAGAGGAAGGGTTGGCCTTGCTGTCTCAGGACTGGCAGAGGTGGGAAAGATGGAGGGAGGGGAAAGGGAGGCAGGAGAGGCAGGCACATTTACTGTAATTTTTATCGAAAAAAATCTGCATATAAGTGGACCCGTTGGAGTTTTTAAAACCCGTGTTGTTTAAGGATCAGCTGTATTTTTGAAAGCTTTCACTTAAAATAATAAATATTCATTGATTCCCTTAAGGGGGAAGATTTGAGGCAGTTCTTAGCGGAGTATCTGACATAGGGTGAGAACTCAAGTCATGGCAGCTGCTGTTCTTATTAAGAAGTACATTTATCTGCAGTTGGTTGGCTGTTTTCTGTGCCTCTTAGAGGCAGAGCAAGAATACAGGAGTGCTGGTGAATATTGGACTGTTGCAGTGGGTAGTAACTGTGGCACTCAGCTGCTCCCAAGCTCATTTTCGTAGTCTTCTGAGTGACCTCCCAGTCTTCTCTGACTACCACTGGTCACTTGATTAAAGAAAACAGCCGGCTCCTCACTCTCCTCGCCTTCCCCACCTCCGTTGCCATGGCCAATCCCCCTCCCCTTCCTTTTGCTTCCCTTCCTGGCCAGCCACATCCCTGAGTTTCACTAGGGAGGCTAGGTAGCTGAGGAGGTGCTTCTGAGCCTCTCTTGGTAAGGTTGGAAATGATGCCCTGGGCGGAGGCTCTTCTTCCCAAAGCAGATTGCTGTCTTGTCCATGTCCCCCAAGCTTGTTCCTGTCTTTCTCTCTACATCTGTTTCCCTGCTTGAGACAGTGGTCTGACTTGCTGGACAGCGAGGCAGCTGTGGAGTATCCCCTGTGTTTAGAAACAGTACTGTCCGTTGAGAGGCCCCATCAGACATCCCTCATATTTGGTGGGGACTCTTTCAATGGACAGTACTGTTTCATTTTTCTTTGGCATATCTATGGATTATTTTAAAGACTATAAACCTGTTAATTACTCCAAAGTAAATCTCAGAGGTCCACCTGGGGCCATTGATATGTTTACTATATTGAAGGCTCAGTTGATTGCCATGCCGATCATTCATTGGCAAGTGAACGGGCAAGCATCCGTCCAGCCATGCCGATCATTCATTGACAAGTGAACTGGAAAGCATCCGAAGGAAAAAAGTGTGATAGTATGCCTTTCTATATATTGCCCAGGGAAGTTTATTTTATTTTTAGCTGTTGGCTACTGCAGTGGGACAGGAAAGTTAACTTAGCTGTTGAGAATGAAAAACAGCTTGAAAAAAAAGACATTGAGGTTCATTGCACTCCATGACTTGGGTAGACAGTTGAAAGGGGGTGGTGAGAAGGAGTTATTCTGAATACATGCAGTGTTTTCATTTAGAGATGCAGAGGTTTTCTCTTTATTTGTATCTTAGTGGACGATGACAGTTGAAAACAGAAGGAGCCACTTCCCTCAAAACATGTAGCTGTGCATGAATACATGGGGTGAGCTGTTTTCCATGAGAGGGGATCCTGCTTGGTGCTGAAAGGATAGAATGCAGGATGCAGGTCCTGCCCTTCAGGTATCCCTGGTGTAACTGAGAACCATGCCATCCTGAAGTAGGGTAAAGTGCAGAAGAGGTCAAGACAGCGGCACGCCACACTCACAACTCCTCCATGTGTTCATTCCTGGCTCCGTGGGTAGATCGGCTGGGAAGGAAACTGCCGAGGTGAGCTCTAATTACCAGAGATGGAGATGCTCAGGTGCAAGCTGCCTAATTACAAAAGCCCAGAACACACATGCTCTCAGGGGGCCCACCAGGGTTAAAGAGACTAAAAAAATAATTTTGGCTGCGAATTTAAATGAAGATGAACACCACGAGGAACTTTGTATGCAGAAATGGAGTCCTGGCTTTCTCAAAAAAATAAAAACACTAATGCCTCAACAACAACTACAACAGAACCCCTTTGAGTTTATTATTGCAAGCCAGGTCATGCCAGTTTCACAAGAGTTTGTGAAAATGGATGCACATGAATAGAGCCTTTTAAAAGCTCAGGATTAAGGAGAAAGATTTCACAGTTGATAGTTTGGTAGATGGCAGTCATAAAACAATTGCTCTTTGTTGTATGTATTGATTAAAAAAAGTTTTATTTTCTAATGTCTTGCATTATGAAACTTTTTTTAATGCAGCAATTTTTTATCTATGTTCAATTTCTTAGAAGATAAAAATTTCAAGTGCAGTGAAACTATTTTGCATCTTTTTCGGTATTATAGTCTCCCCATGTGTGGAATTCATTTTGCATGGCCTCAGACCAAATATTTCCAAGCCCTGTCCTTATATATAGCAAAGACATGTATTTTGCTCATGCCTTCAAGCCTGGGAGTAACACAGTTTTGCTGTCAGAAGAAGATGGTTGCTGAGGCAAGTGGGAACAGGCATCCTGCACCATGCCGTCCCACCTGCCCTTCCCGATTGGAGCTGAGGCCACAGTTTTTTTCACCGCCAAATTGATATGCTTTTGAACGAAGCATCTGGTTCTTTGGCAGCTCCACAGGAGTAATCTTGGTCGTTGGAGAGTTTCTCCTGCATCTATCACATAGTTTTGTTATCGAAAGGGTTCCTGGCATTTTCATGTTCCAGTTTCTGGGCATAGGAATGTGAAAAAGCTGAAGTCTGTTTGCACTTGCAAAGCCTCTTTGAAATTTGTAGGCCTAAAAAAAAAATTCTCTGTGTTAAAAAAAAAATTCTTCTGGAGTTGTATCTTACCTGCATCCATGGATGATTTTTCAACTATTTAAGTTTCATACTCATGTATCTGGTATTTATTCCAAGAGAGAAACATCAGTAAGACTTATAGACAAGTAGTCTTTAAAAGTATTCATTAAGAAAGCTAAAATAACATTTTAACGTTTTCTTAGTTTAAGAATTGCAAAATTCAGCAGTATTTATTGAGCGACTCTGATGTTCTAGGCATTTAGGTGCCATACTATGGACCATGTTAGAAAGTTCATAAAGTTCCTCATTCTCAAATCTCAGAGAGCTTTCCTAGCCTAGGTCATTAGCATTTCCAAATGACTTGTCTTGACTTAATAATTTATTCACATTTGATATATTCAACTAACTTTGATTCCTTAATCATAATTCAGTATGCAGCTGTTAATGATTTTTCTGTGTTTTGTGGCTATTTGTCCACTTGTTTCTCAAGTATTAGCTCTAAGCAGGTGGGCTACCATGTCTTTAACTTGCTTTAGCCACCTTCTGGCACAGCATTCATCTATGTAACAAACACTTATCGTAGACCTATTGTGTGCCAGACACAGTTGTAGACCCTACAGTGGAAGCAAACTACTTTCTTGTTGGAGCTTATATTTTTGTGGTCCAAATAATCAGAAAAAAAAAAAAAAACTAATATATTTCTGATTGCAGTATACTTATGCTCTAGAGAAAATGAAGTGAGTGCTGGGAGCATAATGGTGATTGCAGGTGAAAGGCAGCACTCATGGGGTGGCTGTGGAGGGCCTTCTGTGGGGTGACATTTGACCTGAGATCGGAGAGTTAACTACTACACAGACGTTTTGGGAGAAAGCCTTTCAAACAAAGAAAATAGCGGGGACAAGGACCTTTCTCTTAGCTCTTTCAAGGGACAAAGAACAAAGGAAGAAGGCCAGTGTGGCAGGGCAGAATGAGTGATGGTGGGGCTGCGCCGGGGGCTGGAGAGGTTGGGATGGAGTGGGGGTGGTAGGGATGGGCTCAGAGAACCTTGGAGGTGAGGTGAGGATGTGAGGGGTTGGATGTTGGATAAACGTTTATACTAAATGCATAGGGAAGCCATGTAGGGTTTAAAGCCAGGGGAAATATGATTTTATTAATGATACAGGTTTATTAAATAAACACCATTATTATAGTAGTATTGAAAGTCTGTATGTAATTACATACAATAATAGCCTGTGTACTTGTGAAGATGCAAATATCTCTTCTATATGTTTGGTTGAAAGCTAAAAGAAATGTTTTACACAAAATGAGTCAATGAATTCTATCTCTCTCAGTTTCTAACAGTTTAATATTCATCATCTGGAGAAGATATTTGCAGTTTTATCTATGTGTGGGCATAAATTGTTCATCCGAGTAGGGCATGCCAATTTTACCTGAGGTCTCGTCTTAATTTTGATTGTATATCCCTTGTGGCTACATGTCAAAATATGACATATCAGCATTAGGCCAACCTGTATTTAATGACTAGGAAACCGTGGAATTTATATGATTTGGGGGCACGTGGGGGCTTTTCTAATGCCGATTCCAAGGATAAGTGGCATAGAAGTTATTTGATTAATTGGACAAGCATGAACTCTAGCTCAGCTTCCTGCATGTCATCTGAACACAAAACACTGAAGATTAGGTGACTTAGTACTCCAGAATTAAAATCATGATATTTCTTTTCCTGTTAACAGACTATTTTGCTTAGCATTACACTGTCTTTTAGGCAAGCATTCACTGTGCCCCTGCATATGTAATCTTTACTCACGAGTGAGGAATTTTCCAAGGTATATGTTGAAAACACTGCTTCCTGAAGTCCAGCTGTGGTTGAAGCCATACCTTTGCAATGAGGTCCGTTTAGTAGCTTCCATGTGAACCCATCTATCACTTGAGTGGAGCTAGAGAGTGTCATATGCTCACAAGGCTCTTAGTAAACTCCTTTGCTGAGATGTTATTTGTAGAGCCATCAGTCACACACAGATCTCATCCTTGTGAAGTTATTCATTTGTGCATGGGTTTTAGCTCTGCATTGGCTTGCTTGGGAAGACCCAGAGACCTGGATCATGGCTTAATTTTCATGGTGATGAAACAGAGGCAGTAACCTGATGATGGCTTGACTTTGAGCCCCAGTGTCACCTGACCCACTGGGATGATATGCATCATGGCCTCCTTGGAGGGTGCAGCCAAGTGGGGCTGTCTTCTCTAAGAGATCTGTCTTCTTGCTGCTCAGCGTCACTTCCCAGCCAGTCTAAAACACCGCCGCCTCCCCAAGCCCTAAAGCTGTGTTTTCTAATACTGCTTTCACTTGTGATAGTCCATGAAAAAAATCTTTGAAAGAAATAGCAAGCCTGTCGGTAGCAGCGGAATGAAGCAGGTGTGCCAGAGCCCTGGTTCTGCCTTGCTCTCATAGGCGGGTGACCTGACATCATCTCTGGTCGTTGCATCAACATCCTGCACTCATCAGGAGTTCATGGTGGCCCTCTGATAAAAAAAAAAAAAGAAAAAAAAAACCAGGACATTTTCGTTTCTCTTAATGCTAATGATTAGAAAAGGGACCCATGATCTTGTTTTCCCTCTGCCTCTTACTGAGAAGAGGGTGGTCTCCAGGAACATTTGGAGCCTTTGAAACCCAAATGATGTATATTGGCTGAATTAGTAAAATAATTGCATCTCAGCTGGTTGGAACTCTTTCCTGGAGCAAAGTAGTGCTGCAGTTATTGGGTTGGAGGTCTCTCTTTGTGTGGAATACTTTTTAGGGACTCAGGAGAGATAGATGGAATTCCAAATAAAGTGTCACATTTTCTTTCAGGAAGGAGATTACAGTCTAACAGGGTAGATTATAAGCAATATTTGTCATATTAATAACACTGGCCAAGGAGGGGAGGCTTCTTGTGAAAGAGCGTGAAGGGTCGAGAAAAGGGGGCAAAGGTATGGGTCATTCAGGTTGATGAAATTCCAGTTAGGAAGCATGGCACACACAGTTATTGGGTTTGCAGTGGTCCTTAGTGCTGAGGCAGAAGATTGCAAGACCAAGGTAGTGAGTCTGCATTGGAGATTTACAAGAGAGAACAGGCAGTTGGTATGGTCCGTGACGGTATGGTTGCTGCACTTTGGCCTTCCTGTGGAGTTCTCCTGCAGGCCCTGCAGATTTTGGTGTATCCCGGGGTGGGAGGCTCCGGCTCTGCCTGCTACCGCTGCCCTCTTGGAGCTAAAAGATACCTACTTACAGGTAACATTGTGAAACTAAAAGAATTTCAGCATAAGAAAGTGGCTGTTGCATGTAATCTTCCTGGCACTAAAGAAACCTATTTTAGAAACTTGGAAGAGAAACTGACCCAGAACAAGCTCATCTTGAAGGGGGAGTTGATAACCTTACTTCATTTGTGTGAGTCCCGGGACCATGTGGAGCTGGCTAAAAATGTCATTTACAGGTACCATGCAGAGAACAGAAATATCACTATGGGGGAGTTTAAGTTCGGACCACTTTTCATGAGGCTGTGTTACGAGTTGGATCTTGAGGAATCTGCAGTGGAGCTCATGAAAGACCAGCATTTGCAAGGTTTCTTCTCAGACTCCACATCATTCAGCATTTTGATGGATATGTTATTTATCAAAGGCAAATATAAAAGTGCTTTGGAAGTATTGGTAGAAATGAAAAACCAAGATGTGAAGTTCACCATAGATACCTATGTTCTTGCTTTTGCAATTTGCTACAAACTGAATAGCCCTGAGTCTTTTAAAATCTGTACTACATTAAGAGAAGAAGCCCTACTCAAAGGAGAAATTCTCCCCAGGAGAGCATCCTGTTTCGCTGTGGCATTAGCTCTGAATCAGAATGAGGTGGCAAAAGCCATGTCCATTTTTTCCTCAAATCATGAATCCAGAAAGCATAACCTGCACTAATTTAAATATTATACTCCATATGCAGTTAAATATGTTGGAAAACGTGATAGAGATACTAAAAAATGCTATAGAAGGAAATTTATCAAAATACGTGAAGAGACAGGTGTTCTCAGAGAAAGTGAAAATATAAGTAATCAGAAGAGAATGACTGCTACATTGACAGCCTCTGGCCCCTTGCCCTATTTACCCATCATGACTATGGATGCACCACTCATGCCAGCCTCTCCAGTTGTGCACTAGATCCCATCCCCTCTGACCCACTCCACAGCGTCAGTCCAGAAGTTGACTCACTCTTTTGGGCATCATCAATATCCCCGTCCCTGTGGGTCATTCTTGTCAGCAGACATTAGGATATAGTATCTCTCATCTTAAAAAAGAAAAAGAGTCTCCTGTACAAGTGAAAAGACAGACCATGTGTGTAGATAAGAAGACCTAGCCTCATGAAAACTGTTTTTTTGAAGTTACTTTGATAATGTAACATGAAAATATCACTTTTTTTTTGTAGTTACAGGTTGGATGAAAAAACAAACAAGATTATCTAGAAAAACCCTGTGAAAGAGGGGCAGTAAGCGTTGCTAGATCTAGCAGATATCAAAGCATGTTAAAGTTTCTATAATTCAAACTGTGGCTTAGGTCACGAATAGGGCAGCTAATGGGACAGAATAGAAAGTCCAGATACAGACAAATCACAGATACAAATTTAGTGTAACATAAAGGCAAAGGCAAGCATCTCAAATCAATCTAAATGGATAGACTGGTAAGGAGTACTAGGATAAGTAGGGAGCCAATAGAAAAAGATACACTTGTATATGTTTTTATACCACAAACCAGGATACATTCCAAGTGGATGATAATTTAAATTTTTTAATTGAAACATACAAGTAGGAGATATAAACATTAGTGGATTCTTTAATGTCCTGGAAGTGAAAAAACTTATCTTTCAATCAAAATCCAAATCAATTAAAGAAGTGATAAATTTGACTAAATAAAAATGTTGAAACCTTTTTTGTGTGTGGCAAAAACTCCATAAGCAAAGTCAAGAGGTAAATAACAAACTAGAAGAGAGTACTTTCAGTTTTTAATCATACTGACAAAAGGATAACTAACTCTAATATTTAAAGAGCTCTTTTTGGGGCCAGTCGCAGTGGCTCACGCCTGTAATCCCAGCACTCTGGGAGGCCGAAGTAGGCGGATCACAAGATCAGGGAGACCATCGTGGCCAACACGGTGAAACCCCGTCTCTACTAAAAATACAAAAATTAGTCGGGCGAGGTGGCGCGTGCCTGCAGTCCCAGCTACTTGGGAGGCTGAGGCAGGAGATTTACTTAAACCCAGGAGCTGAGACATGCCATTGCAGCCTGGCAACCGAGTTAGACTCCGTCTCTGAAAAAAAAGAGCTCTTTTTGAAAATTGTGAGAAAAGATCCAACAACGCTAAAGAAAAATGGGAAAGAGATGTGGACGGAACTTACTAAAAATGAATTGTGAATGGCCCTTAAACATTTGAAAAGATTCTCTTGCCCATATCAAGAGAAATGCAAAATAAAACTGCTTTATGATCTTTCTTGTGAGTAGAAATCTGCAAGTTTGCCAGCCTGTTTGGTTGTTGAGGCTCTGAGGAAATGGGCACTATCATCCGATGCTGCTAGAGGGAAAACAGATTGGTATACCCTGTGCAGAGGCATTTGGCAGTATCTCACAAACAAATAATTTCACCCCTTGACTCAATCGTCCCACTTGGAATATATTCCAAAAATATACCGGCAAATACAAGGAAGTTGTATGTACAAGGCTATTTGTTGCAGGCCAATTTCTAATAACAGCAGACTAGAAAAAAGCCCAAATTTCCATCAGTAAAGGACTAGTTGTACAAATTAGGGTCTGTTCATACAAAGGACTGCTATGTAACCCAAAGGAAGTGAGGAACGGCTATATCATATACTGCTATGGATCACCATTTATATGGATCACTTAAATATGTTTTTAAGTGACAAAAGCAAGATGCAAATGAGTGTGTGTGGTATGCCTTAAGAAAGCGGTACCATATATTTATATATATTTAGGGTTTTGAAAAACACTATGGATGAAAAACCCAAAATTTAAGTGGTTATGTTGGTTTCTTTTTCAGATCATTTTTTGTATAGAAACACTGCTGATTTTTGTATGTTCATTTTGTAACCTGCAGCTTTACTGAATTGATTTATCAGTTCTAAAGGTTTTTTAGTTGTCTTTAGGAACTACAGTTAATTATAATGCATATTTCAAAAATGCCAAAGGAGTAGATTTTTAATGTTTCACTGCAGAAAAAGATACATTGTAGGTG